ACATCATAACTACAGTAAGCTGCGTGAATTCTGTTGCAGCTCAATGATTTGGAGACTGTTATGAGTTTAAAATTAGGGATGTGACTGCACTGCAGTGTGTTTTCACCCTCACCTCTGCACCGGCTTCTCAGCTGTCTTTGTCTTACTGTTTTAATGCATTTATACATGGAAATCAATTGTATGACTTAGAGCAAATCTCTTAATAAGTGGAAGATAATCAATGGTGGCATCAATTAGCAGATATGTGTGTCTTTGGCTTCCTAACCAGGCTTGCTCATGTTAGCAGAAAGCTTATTTCCTCACCTTCTCGTGTAAATTTGGTCACTTTTGTCTTTAAAATCGTGGTGGAGGTGTGGCACAGCTGCAGGGGAGGGGTGGTGCGGTGAGCTCAAGGGCCAGTGCCAGCGAGGTTAGAGGGACAGGTGGACATGATCTAACTAATGAGGGTTCCCCCTGTTTATAGTGAGGCCAGAGACCAGAGACAGCTGGAAAGCTGGTGGACGCTTGTGCTGAATCCAGGAAACAGTGTTTATGTGCAAAGTCATTAAAACAATAAAGCTCAATGGGAAGTGTGTCGGGTCACGGTCCTTAAATCCTAACATGCAGCAGCCAGTTTACGCTCACTGCTGTAAAAGCCTCAGAAAGCAGAGCACAAGCCGTGGGTGGTGTGTGTGGCTACAGTCGCCTGTCGTATAGTTTACAGGCTGAGCTGGGTTTTGCTCATTGTGGAGCCTTCCAGGTTTGAGCCGTGCACATTCCAGTCCACAGATGTTTTTACTAGTTTGGGATGTAACAGGTACTGGAAAAATCTTTTTCATTAATTAACTTTTTTTAATATGTCACAGTTTGTAAGATTTGTTGTGTAACCAGGACAATGTGCATTTCCAAAGTGCCCAAACCGAGAAAAATGAGCTTTCAGTTGATTATTGAAGCTTATTTTTTCATATAATCAACAACAACAGCATTATCCACGATCAGAACCATTTATCCACATTTTATTATTTTTTGCTTGATATGCGTATTTTCTTAATTCAGAGTCAGTTTGCTGTTATATGTGGATGATTCGGTGTCAATGGTGATAAATGAACCCTTTGTTGTTGTGTTGAGCTGTGATTAGTCTTTGTGCAGTCTGGGAGCAGATGGTCACTCGGCGCCTACGCGGTCGGTCTTTATAAGGTCGATGTCCTGTTTACATGGACAGCCATCTGACACATCCCAGAGCCAGATCACCTGCAGTCTCTGGCTTCATCATTCAAAATCATTCATACCAAACGATGCTGGAATATTTAAAGGAAATGGGTGTTTTAATTCTGCACCTGTGTACACTTTGAGTACAAAAGAAAACATAAACAGATAAAGTATTTAAATTCATCAGTGTGTAACATCAGATGATAGGTCAGTAATACGTTTTAGGGAGTAAGTGATTGTTTTATTTTGAAAATAGTTCCAGCATTAAAACTTCAAATGTAAATATAATATATAACAGTCAACACCAAACTTAATCCTGTGACCTTCAGATCCCATTCCCAACTCTGAACATCACCTAAACACCACAAACAAACTATTTATGTTTTCACTGATTCATTCTGAACAGCTGCTTGATGGAGTTGATCAAAAATAGGGCAGAAAATTAAGAATAATATGCTTTTTTTTTTTAAATCTCATACCTTTAATTAATTTTCTTTGTTTCCAGATATATTAATCTATGAGCTTAATTTCTTAATTACTTTCCAGTTTAGCATTGCAGTGAGCCAAAGCCTGTTGAACAGGTGTAGACGGATACACCCTGGACAGGTCAAAGGTCTATTGAAGCACCAGATCTGAATATTTAAAGACATTAAATTGTTTGACATTAAACACCAGGTGAGGCAGGAACACGTGGGCTCTCACTTCTGGTGTTGATTTATCAGAAATGACTTCTTGTTGTCCAGCTGTTCACTTCTGCAGCCACGCGGGCCTTATTTAAATGTTCCAGCAGAGTTTGGTGTTAGCTGTGGTCCACGCTTTGGGAATCAGTGATATATAACATTATTAGATTTCCAATTCAACCATATGTTCAATTCCACCATCAGGCCGGGGTCTTCTGTGGAGTTTGCATGTTCTCCCCGTGTTTGCGTGGGTTCCCTCCGGGTACTCCGGCTTCCTCCCACCGTCCAAAGACATGCAGCTTGTGGGGATAGGTTAATTGGATAATCCAAATTGCCACTAGGTGTGAATGTGAGTGTGAATGGTTGTCTGTCCCTGTGTGTTGGCCCTGCGACAGACTGGCGACCTGTCCAGGGTGTACCCCGCCTCTCGCCCTATGACAGCTGGGATAGGCTCCAGCGCCCCTGAAAAGGATAAGCAGAAGCGAATGGATGGATGGATATTTTTGCTATCGTGGATTTATATTGATTTTTTCATGTATGACTTGAATGTCATAAATAATCAAGCGATTTACAAACTGGTGGTGTAGCTACTCTCAGATCTTTTGGTCTTTCCTGACCCTGCGTGGGTTTACTTTTGGTTTGCAGACAGAAAGCTGCACATCTGCTCAGCAGAAAAATAAAAAACGCAGCTGGAGATGAGATGTTGAGGTTGTTTGATCTTTTCAGCAGCAACACTGTTGGATCTTTATCTCAGGGCACCAAAGGCAAAGCTAAATGAAGCAATGAACTTGGACTTGCACTCTTCAATAAAACATTAAACATAAACGGTAATAATAATAATAACTTTAACATATATAGAAATTTTAAAATGAATATGTCAACGCTGCGCTTGTAGTTTATCAGTTACTGCAGGGACCAAGGCATCCGATTAATATTTGTCTGTTTGTAAGTGGTGAATGCCTTCCAGCATACGACACCTTCATCCCTGAACACACACACACCACAGTCACACAGTCACACAGTCACACAGCTCCGGTGCCTCTGTCTTTGTTTCTGGGCAGCACACGCTGTACCAGAGCTGGCACCGTGGCTGGGATGAGGGGCATGGCGGTGATAAGATTCTGAGTAGCGGGCTAAATGTAGAAGCTAAAAATGATAAGAGGCACTCGATCAACATGAGTCAGAGAAGACATTCAGCCATCGCAGGAGGCTAGACGAGGCAGTGCAGACGCTCACAGGTTTTACTGAATATATAGAAAAACGAGAGGCGAACACGACATTACAGAAACTGAGTGTCGAAGAAGCTCAAAGTTTGACAGCAAAGAAGGTTTAAAGGACCTGGAGTGGAGGAGTGAAGTGCTGGAACAAAGTGACAAAACTGAGTGATCACTACATCGGAGAAGGTTAATAAGAGGCAGTGAGTAAAACCTGAAAGACCGACATACGCAGAGGAAGCCAAGAGCACAACATGGAAAATCAGCCACAGGTTGAAGGTGAGAGAAAAACGAGCGAGTGAGGTGAAGGTCTGAGGACGTAAAGTTGGAGATCTTTGGTGTCAAAATGAAAGTAACCGCACACAGTAACCTGCAGCATTAGGAGATGACTTATAATGTAATGTAATCTTATTCTGAAAAACCAAAGTTCAAGCTGTTGTCCAGTGAGCACAAAAGACGACCTTGATCACAGGGTGAGGATGACTTTGAGGAAGCTGTTAGCACCAGATCAAGGGCGACTGTAACATGGAGGACTGTGACAGGAGGCTCGTCTTTGCTGGACGCCTGTTATCAGCTGACATGGGAAGACTGACCCAACGCAGCTCGGATGTGTCTTCCTGGCTATAAAAGCAAACCTAGATCAGCTGCTCGTGTTTTTCTTCCACTCCACCTGGAATCAGACCAGTTGTGATGGTTGTATTTTGGCTAGTTTGTGTTTATTAAATTATCTTTTATTAAATAAACAAGAGAGAGAAGAACAGAGTGCAGGCAGGGCTGAGCGGGTGGAGATGAGTAAAAGGGAAAGTTTACGAGGTGATGTGTGGTTTGGAGACAGTAGCATTGATAAAAAGGCAGGAGGCTGAGCTGAAGATGTTAAGTGACCAGAATGGAAAAGATCAGAGACGAGTAGAAATGTCAGACAGACATCTCGGGTCGAACGGTTTGGAGACAACGTCCAAGGACAAAGCTGAGATGTTTGGACATGTGTAGAGGAAGGATGGTGGAAATACTGAGCAAAGCTTGTTTGGATGGAGCTGCCAGGCAGGAGTGAAAGAGGAGGAGCTCAGACGGAGGAGACTGATGGATGTACTGTTGGAAGGCGTGCAGGGTGGTGGACAGATCGCTGTGGTGGCTCCTAAAGGGAGCAGCCAAAAGAAGAAGACGGTGGAGTTGTTGAGATGTTTGACTTACTCTGATGTTTTACACTTTCACTTTCTGAATACTTGGTTTTTATTCAGTGTCAGTTACAAATTGAGTTTATTATTTCTGTCTGTCTTGTGTGTCACTTAGTGTCGTTCCCCACCTTTGGTATCATGTTTGTGTTTCTTTTGTCATTTTTTACCTTTTGTCCCTGTTGTGTGTTTACAAATAAATATAATTTCAAGTTTATTTCTTCTGGAGTTCAACATGAACTCTTTTTTCCCTCAGAGCTGGCCGGGGTGGAGAATGACGAGGCTTCAGCTGCAGAGACAAAAAAGGTGGTGACAGTGGAGGAAAATGAAGAGGAGTCCACGGTAACATCAGCGACCACTGTGGGCACGGTTGCTTATACAACTGCTGAAGGTCTGCATGAAGACGCTGAAAGTCACAATACAGCAGAGGAAGTGGAGGAGGAAGATGATGATGCAAAGGTGGAGGCAGGTGGAAAGGAAAAGGATGAAGATGAGGATACAAAAGCAAAGAGGTTGCTGGTGTCGTGGGAGTCAGAGGTGAGAACCTCGAAATTTGACTGATTTATAAACTCTGTCAGAAACAACAAACTCATCAAACACACAATGAGGAGATGAAACTTTTACAAACCTGGATTTGTGCTTTAATTATACTCAAAACAGAAGGAAATTCATCACAGCACAGAAACGTTTGGGAGCACACT